GGAGCGCGCCTCCCCGCACGGCTCAGCTCCGCCGCCTCGGCCTCCCTACACCGCACCGGACAGCCCCTGCCGGAGCTAGTCGCTCCGCCGCGGCCTGCTCCCCGCCGGCGCCTGGCGCTCCTCGCCGGCCGCGAGCTCCGGCGAGCTCGCCTCCGCGCCCCGCGCCCTCCCTCGTCGGGATCCGGCCGGATCCGTCCACCCCGGACCTCCCCGACCTCTCCCTCGACTCCGGCCACCGTCACCGTCATCTCCGGCAAGATTCTGGCCACCCCGCCGCCGTTGACTTTTCCCCCCTCGAGGTCGATTTCTTCCAAGTCCTGAGATTTGCATATTATGTTGCCCTGTTCATCATGCCATAACTTCATGTGTGCTGCTCCGTTTCATGCATATGATATATCAAAATGTTCATTGAGAGATTCTCTACATTTCATTCATTGTGCCATGCTTGTTTGAGGTCATCTTGAAGCCCGAATCATTGTTGCAAGAGTGCTATATGATGTTCACTACTGTCTGTTAACAGAACTTGATGTTTTGTCATTTTTGTTGCATTTGATGTGTGCATCCTATGAGCATGAGCTCTAGATGTGTTTTGTACTACATCATGCCATCTTTATTGTGGTGCAATCCATGTATTTTTGTGAGTCTTGTAGTGAGTGCATAGAGCTCATGAAGTAGGGTACTTGTTACTGTTTTGCTAGGCTGAATCTGTTATTTCATGATGCTATGTAAACCTGCTTCTACAAGTCATTCTATGCATAATCTGGAGATGTTCACTAAGGATGTTGTGTTACACATGTCATGCTCTATCCATCCATGTCCCTGGTTGCATTTATAGCCTGCTGTAGCTTGTTGTAATCTTGCTCTCAATTTGCTAAATAATGTTGCTGTCAACCTGTTAACATTAAGTTCAGTTTTTCCATGAGCTTTGCTAGTGATACATGCACCCTATGAATTTTCTCTTGCCATGCTTAGCTTCATAAACATGTATTCTTACTGTTGGTCACCTTGTCATACCATGTATTGCTCTGTAGTGAGTAGTACAAGCTCACCAACATTGCAACCTATTGTTGTTCCTGCCATGTCCGAATCTGTCATATTACTTGCCATGTTTGCATGGATGCTACCAT